ACTTGTTTGTTCATTAGAATACAGGGAGGAAAGAAACTCATACTTGCACTGTATGTTGATGATGGACTAGTTGCAGGAACTGATAAAGAAGAACTAAAAATATTTGAAAAAGAATTAAAATCAGAGTTTAAGATAACATCTAAACCTGCAACATATTTCCTTGGATTAGAGATTAATCAAGATGAGAAGGGAAATATTACGTCAGTCATCCTATACAAGAATGATTCTTGAAAAGTTTGGGATGAGTCAGTGTAAATCCTGTACAACTCCGATTACAAAATCTGAGGAGTTCAATGAAAACAAAAATGAACACGAGGAAGTGAAATTTCCTTACAGATCAGCAGTTGGTGCATTGATGTACTTGATGACGGGAACAAGACCAGATATTGCATATGCAGTTGGAGTAGCATCCAGAAGTTTGGAGAAACCCAGCAAGTCCAATGTAGCACAAGTCAAGCAAATTTTCAGATATTTGCAAGACACAGCTGATGTCGGTATTGTTTACAAGTCTGGTCAAAACAATACACTTATAGCCTACAGTGATGCAGATCATGGAGGAGATAAATCTAGTGGAAGATCGACATCAGGTGTAATCTGTATGTTTGGAGGAAGCGTGATCAGTTGGTTTAGCCAACGTCAACCCTCAGTTGCGATTTCAACTACTGAAACAGAAATCGTTGCCGCAAGTGAAGCAGCTCGTGAAGTGATATGGCTCAAACGATTGTTGAACGACATTGTAGATCTAAAGAATAAGCCAGAAATTTTTGTCGACAATAAAGCAGCAATTCGTTTAGCACACAATCCAGAACTTCACAGAAGAACAAAGCACATCCACAATTAGACATTTCTTCGTCAGAGAAAAAGTTGCGGAAGAAGTTTCAGTTGAACGAGTCGCAACAGAACTTCAAGTTGCTGATGCTTTGACAAAATCAATGGTAGGACCAAGACTAAAGAATCTGATGTGTGCGATGGGTCTTCAGAACATTTAGGTTAAGGTCATCTAATGCTTTAAATAAAATGAGAAGGTGTTAAGTTTTATGTTTTATATTAAAACATTATGATTTATAATATAAATTTATTTTTCTTTGGACCAAATGTTCTTTGCTTTGTATATAACTTCACTTTTTCCTTTTCTGTTGATCCGGTGGATAATAAATAAGTCAAGAACGTTGCTTAGTTTATTTCTCTTCTTTTAATGTCTTTCAATATTGCATCAATTAATTAAGCGATCAACGTAACAAGAAATTTAACAATCTCAACATGCCTTTATGGAGTTTGACTGCAATTTTCTGTTTATTTTAGACTTTTAGTGATGTGTAAATTTTTGACAGTCAAATCATTCAGTTACTTTTCAAAAGTAATCGAATACTTTTCCAGATCTTTTATGCTCGCTTGGGTTATTCCTCTACGTAAATATTTACTTATATTTTACTTATATATAAATAAAACGAACAAAATTTTTTATTAATCATCAGACACACACATATATACATATATATATATATATATATATTAATAGAAACTTCTAAAATGAAATTAGTACAAATGTGCAAGAAAATAATATTACATATTTATTAAATAATAAATAAATAAATATGTATAGCCAAAACATGATTCGGTTGGATTGCAGAACTTTGCTGAAAAAACAGTTGTGTCTTTTACAATAGATCAAAATTCCGTTAAATTTTTTAAAATTATTTGATTCTCATTGGTTCATTTAAAAATTAACATACATCAAAATTCATAAGACAAATAACACAGTACAAAGTAAAAGGTGTTACAACTTTATTCAAATCATTTAAAAATTGCAGTAATATTTAATCATTTTGCAAAACAAATTTATAATAATGGTAAGTAAAACAACTTAGATTGTTTTAAGATAATAAAAAGTTATGTGTTGTATTGTTTATTCGTTAATCTCTATATCTTGTTCTCTTACACTGTCTACCTATAAGATATAGAAGAATTTAGAAAATGTGCACTATGTAAGTTTCAATTTAAAATATTTCTCAGGTTTTTATCAGATATATTAATTAAACGTTACGCCCTGGTTTACGATCATCTCTTTCTCACTTTTTCTTAACTCCTGTTAAACACACTTGTGCTAATTCTGCGTTCGCTTTATCTGGACCTTTTCTCTAGAAGTCTCTACCTTCTTCCCCAACTACTTATCAATCACTTACGAAGTTCAGAACGGATCTCAAGACTCATCTGTTTTTAAAAATCATAGAGAAGCGCTGTTGAATAACTCGGAAATGGCGCTTTAGAAGCAAACTCATTGATTGGTAGATTGATTGATTGCAAAGGCTGTAAGGAAACGCGCTGTACCTCGATATCAATAAGTTGAAGTAAATGTAACTCATACCTCAATGATCAAGATGTAGGTAAAAAATTTTGTATTTATTTTCGTCTTCGCAAATTAATTAAAATAAAACATACTTTGTATACAATCATACATTTTTAGGTTACTTTGAACATTCTAAGTATATGTTCTTACACTTGTAGGTTTAATGATATTTTGTCTCTTTTTAACTTAACTCAATATTGTTCTTTTCCTACCCATACTTCTGGTAACACTATTGATTTTATTATAGCTTCATCTTTTTCTAAGCCTATTAATATCTCTGCTAGCTCTGTTCCTTACTCTGATCACCTTCTTATTGAATCTGTTTTTTCATTAGATTTTCTTCCTTCAAATTCATCTATGTCTATTTCTAAAAGATGCTGGTCTTCTCTTAATAAAGATATTTTTCTTCAATCTCTTACTGAACCTATTTTTGATACTACCTTATTTTCTGATGTTGATGATTTTGTCTGTGCTTTTAATATCTACATTACTTCTATTCTTGATAAGCTTATTCCTCTTAAATCTTTTACTTATAGGCTCTATTCTCGTAAGGCTCCTTGGTTTGATTATGCTTGTGTAGTAGCCAAGAAAAGTCTTAGAAGACTGGAGAAAGCCTATAGGTTAAATCCATCTAACTCTCTTTATTCTATCTATGAATCTGAATTGATTAATTATAAATATCTACTATTCTCTAAACACTCTACTTTTCTTAGAAATTCTATAACATCTGCTTCAACATCTAAAAATAGGTGGTCTGTTTCTATCTAAACTTCTACATAAAAAATCTTCTCACTCATCTTTCTCTGCTCAACAGTTTCATGACTTTTTTGTAAATAAAATTACTTCTTTAAGAACATCTAATTCTAATTTTCCTTCTCATAACTTTACTAAACTTACTACTGATCTTTCTCTGTATTTACTCCAATAAATCTTTTAGAA